CTATGGCGAACGACAGCTGCTGCGACCGCTGCCAAGACGCGTCGTTACCACAAGCGATAACACAATGGCCGTCGTATCACGCGCCGATCGCCGAGAGCGCCGATCCTCGGGAAATTATGGACTGTCACGATGCGCTCTCGATAACCAGTCCGAGGACGTCCACGGATACACCCAGCTATCCCAGTGTCGCCTCGAGATTTCGTCGCGCGACGATTCTTCGATAAACCGCTTTTGGCGCGGCCTTGCACGGCCGAGCGAAACGGAACAGCAAGACGCATTACGTGCACAGTGGCGGGTTTAGATCACTAGGATCCTCTAGGTGCTATAAAATTTCAGACCTTTCTTCCCACCGAGATAATTACAGGTTTCAGAGATATATTTGGCCGACCTTCGAAGATTTTACCGTAAAACTAACCTAACTACCTCGCAAAATCGCCAAGATCTCATCACGAAGATGTAGTTATCTTTTAGTTATGTTAGTAACTCATTCATTAATAATAATAAAGATTTGCAAAAAATAAAAGAAATTCGGCACACGTGATTTTACTGAAATATTTTAAATTTCGCTAGATATAAATCTGAAAATAATTTTATTGAACTGTTAAAATAGATGTAGGATGCTCAATTTGATTTCTAAAATGTCAAGGTTTTTTTTACAGCATTGCTCTTTATGTTTCAATTTTTTATGTAGCTATTTTGGTAACAAAATTATTTTCAGATTTGTATATTTAGCTAAATTTTTAAATATTTTAGCAAAATCGTTCTTTCTCTGTGGAACCCATTGCATTGTAATGTTTTAGAGAATCAATTTGATTATTAAAAAGCTTAGATTCAATGTTTTCGTGAAATCTCTCATGATGCTTGAAAGTTCATTATAATGCGACTATTAATATTTACGCAGATCTACTTGCTACATCATGAAGATCGATAAGAAGGAATGATTCGCGAAGCAATACAACACTCTGAAAACAAATGGACAAGTAAAATCATCGCGAAGACATTATTACGACGGCTACTCGGAAGACGTCGGTAGAAGTTTTTCAAGTGGCGCTTTCTTTATGTGACCAATGTAATTTTAATGACGTACGACCGTTTTTCCGCGCGATACTTGATTTTATTTGCGAACGTGCAAGTCTGTTTACGCCAGCGTTTTAATTGGTTTCGATTGATTACTGCGCAAAAGAGGAGTGCACGATAATTGCGAAAGAGGCGGATTTATTTATTAACTGTTTGCACACTTGAATGAGTTTTCTCGATTGACTCTCTATCATCATTTTATTTTATCACTAATAATTTTGGTCAATATGTACAATATCGATTGCCATATATGAACTTGAAAGTATCCTTTCTTTAGGCTAAAGTAAGTTAATTTAATATCTAGACTTCAGATAAGAATTTCTTTAAAAAGAAGCTGAGATTAAGATAAACAAATAAATAATCCTTTTTCGTTTCCTTATGATTTTTATTATCATATTATTATGCAAATTAAATAATCTAATAACTATTATATATAAAAGCTACTTAATAAAACTACAAGAATACGATGATGAATCGAGTATATTTTCTAAAAATACACGGTTCTTACGAAAGTATCTGAAAAAAACTTCTATATTTTTGAAGACGTATCACGTAATTTATAACTGACGGGTGAGATATTCGAATCCCGAAGGAATGTAACCTTCATATCCTTCGACGTGCATCGATGGATATCTACCTCGTGGCTCTTCGCTCTTTGGCCCCATCGACTTAGTCCACGATATCGTCGCTTACACTGGGATTCCATCATCGCGTTTCCACTTTTACGTGCGCGGCACTCAGGCCCGATATTTAATTAACGACGCTCCGGCGCGACTCGAGGACGATATATAAAAGGCGTCTCTCTCTCTCTCTGGAAATTTGCATCTCCACTCAAGTCACGTCGCGTATGTGGCTCTTACCCACACTCTCGCTCATGGTCACCACACGCACGCGTTAAGTCCCGATGGTTAATACTTAACGAACGATATCGTAAAATTCCGATCGCCGTTCGCTCGGATCGAAATACATCAGGTCAGTTTAAGTGGAAACGCTCGTAATTTCAAAGATTAAAGAGGAAGAACGACCGTCAAATCGAAAATAATTCATCTGACGAATCGTGTATGTCTAAAAAATATATCATTGACATACATATACTTTGCATATTACATCTTGCATATATATACATACATGAAGATGAAATGAAGGAAAGATATTTCCTATATGTTAAATGTCATAATGTCAAATTATACCCAATTTTAATTACTTTTTATCATTTTGTGTTTCAAGTCGCTGCTGCTCCTATTCAATATGTTAATTTAATTAAAATAATAAAGATAAATAATTTAGTTCAAGAAAATGTATTAAATTTGACTCAAATTTAATTTCTTATTTACTAGTGCATGTTAATAAAAACGGTATTTGAAACTAACTACAGAAATGAATTGGCTTACATTTTAATAGCTATACAAAGAGAAAACAATAAAACTTAAGAAATTACTTAAGAAATTGGATTATCATTGCTCCTATACCATTGGCTTCTTTCATTCTCTTTCTCTCTCTTTCTCAGCAATATTTTTTTCTAATTTAATGAATTGATATCAAAATGAAAAATTAAATAGATATTCGAAGACACTAAAAAGATTGTCATTGGCGTGAGGACTATTAAAATTTTACACAGCGTAGATGCATCACCGTATATTTTTACTTCACCTATCTTCCCGAATGCTTGAGTAGCGCATTCGCTTTATGGACATACAAACGAAGGGATCATAAAATCACGCGGATGTCGCTCGCGCGAGGAACGTCGGAGCGACAAAATCGTATCTCGACAACACGTCGGATAATTATTCGGATATCCTCGAGAAGAATGCCTGGGGTATCTAGATACCTTTAATGGGGCAAGCTTTCAGCCGCTTATCTGGCCAAGGCTCACTCGGGCTTTTACCCAGGTCCGCTCTCACCCGCGCAGATAAAATACACTCGTAACATATCCCCCACTTCTTGCCTTTCCCCGCCAATATAATTAACCGCTATCGCCGCGAGAGCGAACGGCCCCCGTTTTTCTGTCTCTTATTTTTTTTTTCGCCGGATCGAAATTCCATTACGAGTCATTTATTTTATACGTGCGTGATCGCTGTCCTTACGAGGAGAGAGAACGCGGTTCTGATAAGGGACATTGGCTACGTCCTGGACTAACGTCGTTTCGTTCGCGAATGTACATTGCGAGAGGAGAAACGGTAAAGTTCTCGATGGAAGATGCCCGGGAATCTAAAGCCCAAGGGTCCCTTCTTCTTACGGGAATTGTTATTTCAGTTTGAAGGAGTCCTGCAAAATACAGCGTCACGCGCTCGATTTGTTCACTGATTGCAAAATAAATAAGAAAATCTTTAATTTATCACTTCTTAATTTAACAGTTAGTTAGATTAATCTAAATTACAAAACAAAGATTTCTTAACAGAAAAAATATAAAATAATAAAATTCATTTTTACTTTTTAATTCCTTAATTTGAGACGGTGTGATTATTTTGTTCTCCATTATGAAGGCAAGAAATGATTAATACGTATAATATTAATGTAAGGTGACAATCAATAAAAACGAAATGATAAAATAAGACAATATAATGATAGTAATAATTCATAATTAATTACAATTTCTAAATTGCGGAGCTATATTGGAATCCACAGAAACAATTTACGTAAATTGTCTTAATATCGTATCAATAGCGCACCGGCCAAGTTATTACGTCAGGAATTTACTCCAATATTGTGTTCATGTAAATTAATTAAAATGGATTGACAGGACGCGAGATTGCTCGCTGGGCAGCTCGATTTCCACGCTCGCCCTTGCTAATAAACCTTAATTAACGATCGCTATCTCGAATAATTTTCCTGGCGGGTCCCAATTGCGGGGCTTCAACTTAAGTTAATCAACGCTCTTTCAATAATGAAAAGTATGAAAAGCACGATTTTTCCTCGAGGGAGAGGAGCAACCTTTGTGCCGCATATACATAATGTGAAGAATTCCTTTAGGACGCGTTTCAAGTTTTCATATTAAGCAACAAGAAATAACGATGGGAATATAACAAGAGAGTAGCGCCACGATATTGATTATTATAATTTAATATTTCGGCTAGTCAAACGAACTCGGAGAGCGAATCACTCGAGCACCGTCAATCCGTCTCCAAGAGTTAATCCCGCGAGAGCACGGTTAATCCCATAGGATTATGTAACGCCGCAGTGTTTAAGCGCCAGGCTCGTGAAACTCCTGTACGTTCGCCTAGATTTAGTAAATACCCTGTGGTTTCCCCGGTAGAGATTTTTATCCATTCGATCCGCAAGCACATTGCAGCCCATCGGCACCTTTTCGCACTTGGTGAATTTATAACTCATGTTAATAATTTATTAAATTAAAACATTTTTTTATTTTCTAAATATTTTAATTTTTGCAATAAATTATTACTACCTTATTGTCAAGAGTAATCCTGTAATTAATGAGCTGTCGTTTTCTTTCATCATATTGATAGAGGAAGGAATCAATACCCGCTTAATGAAATGCGTCAGCGTTGCACTATTCTGCTGGCAGTTGTACGTCGTCGTGCCAGCTTGAAAAATCTCGTCACGATAAGGGTACGCTGTGGGATTAGTGGTCTTGAGTGGTCGTCTGATTTCTTAGAAACTTTCTCCGCGTGGAATTTGTCGATAGGAATTATGCAAAAGATTAAAAGAAAAAGACGTTTGTTACAGTTAAGCCGCTAGACGTTTGTACTTGTAGCTACATGTATGTATGTATTTAGATCAAGTGCAATGTAATTCTTCCTACTGCATTATGCGAATGTTATAAATATTAAAATATTTATATGTGATTATTGCGTTATGTCATTGTAATATAACCGTAACGTGAGATATGTGCTGAGATATGTATCACATATCGGCCATGTATTCATCAAAGTAATACTTGGAAAGATAAATCTTTGTAGACGTACCTTTTATTTATTTTCTTGCAATATCTACTATATATGCAAGCTGATATTCCGCTTTCGGTACCGATCAGGATGTTTCTGTCTGCTTCATAAGACCGGTCCTTCGCATGGAAACTTCGATATTTAACAATTCCTGTAAAAAGAGTACAGATACGATTACAGTTTACATATGCCGTGCAAAATGTCTCCTTCGCTCTTATCTTCCCTTAGCGAACTACTAGAAAATACCAGAGGCAATGGTCCTTATCGATTTCCGGGAGCTTGTTAATGTCCCGCGATACTAATTAACGAGACGCGCGCGCATTTTATCATCGCTTATGCGCTTCCGGTGAAATTTGCAATCGCAGATACACCCGCGGCTTCCTTCATGGAAAGGCAAGTTAAAGTACAAACGCGACTTATCTCTGTGTTAGATAATACGGTCGAGATCCGTAATTACTGCATGACATCGAAAAATTAAAAAAAAAGCGGGGTACGTTTTTCTCGTGGATCCGGTTCATTACAAACCAGCTGTATCACCGATTTGCATATCAATATCAAAAAGCATGCAAGTTGCGCGATCTAAGCGGAAGCGTTGCGCAGTCTAAGCCGAAGAATCTATAGGTCTGTTCTTTTTAGAACTTTTTGAACTTTTGCACCGGCGTATCTTTCATCCTTTTCTTTCTTCCTAGAGAG